GGCGTATATCTCTTGATCTCGACCTTTTAGACCTTCTCCTTTACAAGATCAAAGGTCATTGACCGTGGCTATCTGCTGATATTTTCATTTGCGAGGTCTGACGTCTATTTCCGGTATTAGAATCTTCTAAAAAATGAAAATTTCTCAACTTTAGACTGTTATTGCACTTGAACTAATTATCGTCGAAGGTTGAATTTTTCAAGGTCTTTTGCAATTTGCTACATTTCCAAAGTTCCACTCTGTGCCACGTGTGGCTCTAGTTTTTCTTATTTTCTTAATTTTTTTTTTTTTTTTTTTGAGTCTGGTCAATTTATCTACAGAAAACCTGGAAATCTTATAGAGTTACAAAAGACTCAAAGTTCAAGAAAAGGCCTCATTAGTGAATTGACAAGGGTACTTCGGGCCACTCTCGGTTCTGTTTACAGCCCTAGTAATCTTTCTGCTGTTTTCTTCAGATATAGATGAATGTGCAACCAATAATGGATCGTGTGAATATAAATGTCAAAATGAACCTGGTAGTTATAACTGTTCGTGTCCAGAGGGGTCTGAATTACAGGGAAATGGTTTGAATTGTGGACCAAGTGGACCAGGTATAGTAGTTATACATTATATATTACATAACTCAATCGTAATATTTGCGGAAACTTAACAAATCTCGCACTTGCAGTAAACTATTGGATAGAACGGTTTAAGTAAAACTTGGTATATTGCATGGGGCAGATTGACCTAGTTTTGGTGTTTGGCTTTATAATGGCTCGATATTTACAGCTTTTGAGTTGAGTTTTCGGTAATTGCAGGGCATTCGTTCGTCGGAAGCTGACAGATCTGTCAAACAGGTCTAGTATTAGTTGAAACCTTTCGAATACGTAGGAGATATATTTCTCTACAATTAGGTTTTTTTTTACTTAAATCCGTAGAGTAGTTTTCTAACAGTTTCCAAAAAAGTATAACGAACTTTTTTTTAAAATTAATGACTGGATTATTTAGTTAAAACTTTCAGATACGTTAAGGGACACATATCTTCTTCATAAATTTGCGGAATGCTCCTTTAAGTGGATTCTCCCAAACGACCATTATCTATTAGTATTGATATGTAAGTCTATGAAACCCAGAATGATATTTGTTGCCTGTCAAAGTATTTAGCCTTGTGTTTCAGGCAGACAATTCGTCAGCTAAACAGTAATTATAACTAATTTAAATATATATGTATATATCCTAGTGACGATCCTAATCTGATAATTTAACATTTTTTCAGGCCCCTGTATGTTCGAGAATGCAACGGTGACTGGAGTTTCAATTAATTTCAATAGAATTTATATTGGCCGTGAGA